GTTCCCTGCTGTGTCCCACCCCTCCAGGGAAGGCAGAGGAACATGCTCTGCTTCACAGAGTGCTGGGCACAGTCCCCTCCCTTTCTCTTCTCCCTCCCTCTAGGGGGGTTTCCTCTGACTGCTGGGCCCTCCAAGGACCCCGCTGCTCCCTAGTCTTCCCACCCCTGTATTCTGGTCTGGCTCTCACATGAGAAGGCCCTTCCATGGCCTGCTGATGTCAGACTAGGGAAGACTGACAGCTGGGTGTGTTGGAATGAGCTTTGTGACACACTTTCTTATTTCATGTCTTAAAAACTGATCAGTAATCATTTCTGATTACATCTTTTTTTAAAAAGTTAAGTGTTAATTGCTTTTCTGGGTAGAAAAGAAACATTTACCCATTGTGGAAAACTTGGAGAATACAGGGAAAAAACCCCACAAAACCCACTTGATAACCCTAAACCCAGAGGTAATCAAGCTGAGTGATATTGTATATTTCCATACATACATATGTGTTCACCTTTACAACCCATTTTGTTCCTCTTTTAAAAAAATTAAAAACCTCATTTAAAATATTTTAACTCTTAGGCTGATATTCTTATTTTCACCTTAGTGCTGACACTTGTTTTCCAAAGTAGGCATGGGGTGTGTTGGAATGAGCTTTGTGACACACTTTCTTATTTCATGTCTTAAAAACTGATCAGTAATCATTTCTGATTACATCTTTTTTAAAAAAGTTAAGTGTTAATTGCTTTTCTGGGTAGAAAAGAAACATTTACCCATTGTGGAAAACTTGGAGAATACAGGGAAAAAACCCCACAAAACCCACTTGATAACCCTAAACCCAGAGGTAATCAAGCTGAGTGATATTGTATATTTCCATACATACATATGTGTTCACCTTTACAACCCATTTTGTTCCTCTTTTAAAAAAATTAAAAACCTCATTTAAAATATTTTAACTCTTAGGCTGATATTCTTATTTTCACCTTAGTGCTGACACTTGTTTTCCAAAGTAGGCATAAGAAAGCACCTGTTACCTCCTGACTAAAGTGCTCTTCCCCCCTTGCTTCTGAGGAGCCTGTGGCTTGCTGGAGACCACCCGGCACAAGCCCAGTCCCCACTTTCCACCTAAGTGAGCACTTGCTGACTAAATAAATAAAATATTTTAACTCTTAGGCTGATATTCTTATTTTCACCTTAGTGCTGACACTTGTTTTCCAAAGTAGGCATAAGAAAGCACCTGTTACCTCCTGACTAAAGTGCTCTTCCCCCCTTGCTTCTGAGGAGCCTGTGGCTTGCTGGAGACCACCCGGCACAAGCCCAGTCCCCACTTTCCACCTAAGTGAGCACTTGCTGACAGTGCCTTCCAGGGCCGCTTTGCTCCTGGGGAAGCAGAGTGTGTTGCGGGCTCTCCTCCACCTCTGTCCCCACACTCCGGGGCACTGAGTGAGGAAGGAAAGCGTCAGGTCAGGGACGTTAGGTGGAGCAGGCCCACCCTTGCCCACGGCTTTCTGGTGCTTGATGGCCCTGGCCCAGGACTGCCGCCCTGTCCTTATTCTGGGCCCTGAGGATAGGCAAGGGTCTTTAGGGCTGCCTGGGAGCTGAGAAATGACCAACGAACACCTCTCTGGGCCGGGCTGCCCTCGCCAGCCCCACAGGCCCCGTGACCTTGCTGGGGCTGACGTGGATGAAGGGACAGGAGGACAAAGAGCAGCAGCAGGAGGTCCTCTTTGCTCCCTGCCTTCACTCCACAGTCCCAACAAGAACAGTGGTTGGTGCCTGTGACTACCCCCCACCTAACCTGGCCTGTCCTCATAGGGAACTGCATGGTGGGTCCATGGGGTGCAGTGGGCACCAGTGTGGCACTCTTTAAGGCTGGCCACCTTGGGGACACACTGGGCCCATGTAGCCTGAACTCTGGCTGCCACCCAGGGACCACCTTTGGGCTAAGACGTCCATGTGTGTAACTCCGGGAAGGCAAACTCACAAGACAGGGCCAAATGATCCCACCCTTGGCCGGACAACAGAAACCTTCCTGTCTGCTTGTTCACACTGGCGTCAGTGGAGCTTAAGAGGTGCCCTCAAACCAGCGGAGGTATGTGTGGTGTGGGATCACTGGCCAGGGTCTCCCTGCCCTTCATCCTGGTATTGGCTCCATTTCTCATCCTGGCCTGGGCCGAGCTACTTACCAGGGTTGGGGCTGGTGGGCGAGTCAGATGTCAATAGGGACATCTTCCAAAGCAGCTGGCCTCCTGCTCCCCTCAGCAAGGAGGGGCTGGGCCAGGCGCTAGGTCCTGAGAGCATGAGAGACAGGACATCCCCCCTGCAGGGCTGTTCGAAGGCTGCTGGAATCAGGGTTGAGCATCTGCACAGATGGGCCAGCATGAGACCAGTGCTCATGGGAGACCCCACCCAAAAAGTGTCTACCATAGATGTTCCGGTGGATAGTGACCTAAATGCCACAAAATGCTGCAGCTTACAGCGCTCGTGACTGAGCTGTGTACAACACCACCTTCCTGGGGCAAGGCCTTCTCTCTCACCATCTGCCTTCCTGGTAGCCCATCTCAGTCCTGGGCACTTAGCAGGAACCATATCTGCTACACCCTCAGAAACTAGCATAGTGTCTGGCAGGGAGCGGTTGTCAATAAGCAGCTATTGAATGAATAAATGAACACATGGGTGAATGAAGGGATGAACGAGTGAAAGAAGGAACAGATGAACAAATAGGTGCAGGTTTGGTTGCTATTCAGGATCTTGGCACTGTGCCCAAGTTTCACGTGTGATGTTGTCTCACTGGCCTGTAGCCAGGGAACATGCTGGCTTGCCTATAAGCCCCCCTCCTTGGATGTCCCCAAGAGTCCCCTGAATGGTGCTGAGAGTTCTGCAGTCTGCCCCTTGTGCCATTCTGGTACTCCTCCCCCCTGGTGGGGTGGCTCCCAGAGCAAGAGCAGCTGGGCCCATTTGCCTGAGCAACCCAAATTGGAAAAGGGCAAATGTCCCTCCAGGAGTCCTGGGGTGGGGGCAGACAGACTCTGAGAGCTCATGGCATCATTACTCCCCCTGCCAGCCCTCCATGTTGGGTTTCACAGACAGAATGACTGAGCGACATCAGGCCAGCGTCTGGCCGAGGTGTGGGGCAGCAATGAAGAGGTGGGCTCAGTGGTCAGGACGTGAATTTGGGTCAGCTCTGCCCATGCCAAATGAGTGTGAAACAGGCAAGTGACATCGCCTCTCTGAGCCTTGCTTTCCACATGTGTAAGACGGGGACAGTCTGAACAGCTACTGGGTAGGACTGCAAAGGATTCAGTGAGTCCAGGCACGTAAAGCACCAAGACAGTGCCTGGCACACATGCAATGCTCAACAAGGACCACTAATCATCAGACAGTACCTCTACCCTGTGAGGAGCTGCTAGGCAGGATCCACCTCTTCTCTGATCATTTTACGATTATGGTGACTGAGAAGACAGGTGTGTATGTGTGTGAGCGTGTGTGCATGCACATGTGTGAGTGTATGTGTTGTGAGAGTGTATGTACATGCATTCATGTGTATGTGCATGTGTGTGTACATGTCCACATAAGTATGAAGGCGTATGTGAGTGCACCTGTGAGAGTGCGCATGTGTATGTGTAAAACTGTACATGCATAAGTGTGAGAGTGTTGAGTGTTTAGTGTGTGCATATGTACATGTGAGTGTGTTATTGTGTATGTGCATGTGTACATGTGGGTGCATGTAACTGTGAGGGAGTATGCATGTGTGTGTGTGAGAGTGTATAAACAAGTGTGTACATGATAGTTTGTAACTGCGTGTACATGTGTGCATGTAAGAGAGTAACTGTGAGTATGCATGTGTGTGAGAGTGTATAAAGTGCATAAACAAGTGTGTACATGATAGTGTGTAACTGTGTGTACATGTGTGCATGTAAGAGAGTGTGAGTATGCATGTGTGTGTGTGAGAGTGTATAAACAAGTGTGTACATGATAGTGTGTAACTGCGTGTACATGTGTGCATGTAAGAGAGTAACTGTGAGTATGCATGTGTGTTTAACTTAGTGCATGTGTATGTGAGAGCGTGCGTAACTGAGTGTGTGTACCACGAGAGTGTATGTAACTGTGAGTGTGTATGTGTGTGTATGTGTTAACTTAGTGCATGTGTATGTGAGAGCGTGTGTAACTGAGTGTGTGTACCACGAGAGTGTATGTAACTGTGAGTGTGTATGTGTGTGTATGTGTGACTGTGTGTGTACACATGTTTGCATGTACAGGCCCCTGGACGCTGGTGGAGGGCCACCCTGAAGGACAGTGCAAACCTGCCTTTCCCGAACATTCTGTGTGCCTGGATTTCCCCTGCCTCCCCTAGGATCTTGAGTCATCACGATGCCTGTCATCTCTGGCAGCCAGGGCTGTGGGAGCACCCCATTCATGACATTCCCTGTCTTCGTAGAGCCCACTGGCACATGAAAGCATCAGTACGTGGAGTACGTGTGATGGGTAGGTCCTGAGTGGGAGGCCTCATGCCCACGGCAGACAGGCTCACTGCAGGGAGGCAAATCCTGGGCTGAGGGGTCCATAAGGGTGTGTGGCAGCTGTAGCTCTTCCCTGGCAGTGTCTAGCAGGGTGGTGGTCAATGGACGCCCAAGGCCTGAGATCATGTGGGTGCAACACTCTCGGGCCCCACCAGGCGGAGCCACACGCCCATCTCAAGACTGGGCCAAGTCTCTGGCTTCCAATTTCACCCAGGCCTCCTCTTGCAGCTTAGCTGGAGGGAGAGCACTCCTGGGCTGGCTCCAGACCAGATGAGGAGTGGGCTGCTCAGAGCACGGGGGCTAGCACCCCCCACACCCATCCTGCTCTTCCACCCTCCCTCCTGGTTGGCCCTGCACCGGCCACAGAGCAGCCTGACTGAGGCCAAGTTATTGGGGTGGGTGGGGCAGGGCCATGCCTACCCAGAGCCTGACTTCAGCTCCCTAGGCCCTGAGCACCTCCCCTGGGAGGGAGGCTGCGCTGAGGCCACACTCACCTTTCCAGCCCTGAAGACATCTCTTCACTAAACTCTGAGCTCTCACTACTGCCTGGAAAAGGAACACAGATCAATGAGCACGGTGGTCTCACAGAAGAGGGGCCTGTTCTCTTGGGTCACCATGTCCAGGCCCCTAAGCTCACAGAAGTGCCAGAGAAATAGCTTCTTGACTCTGTGGGTGTCAATGTGAGTCGACGTTTTGCTGTTGCTCTTTCTGACTCTGGGAGGGTCAAGAGAACCACCCCATCCCACCGTTCCCTGGCGGGGCCACCACTCCCTTCCCGCTATCCCCAAGGGCTACAGCTGCTTGCCCACTGGCCTACTGGGATCTGGGTCCTCAGGCCTTTGTTGGACCTGGATGGGCCCCCCACAGCCTCCCTTCTGGCCCAAGTGAAGCCAAGGCTAGAACAGGCCTCACCTGTTGGGGAAGGATACCAAACGAGCACTTTTTACCCCAAGGCTCACAGCTTGACTACTCACTGGTCACAGAGCAGCTGCCAGCCTTCGACAGACACCTTAAGGGAGGGCCCCTTCAGACCCCTAGCCAGGGGATTCAGGGGCTGCGCCCCACTGCTTTGCCCTCTCTTCCTCCCTCAGGCCTGCCCCTCCCCCAAAGCCACTCCAAGGAGAGATTTTCTCCTGTCATTGGAGCATCAGGTGCGATGCTTCATACCCTCCCCCAGAGCTTGCAGGCTCTGAGCTTCAGTGTTGCTTGCCAGCAAGAGCACTAAGTCCCCTTGGAATTGGCCTGAGAAAGGCCCTCGTTACAGGGTGGGGAGGACCAGTCTGGCTGCAAACAGGGCACGTGTGCACATAGCCACTTACTCTGGGCTTTTAGCCCCAAATGGATGGACACTCTGAGACCCTGACTAGAGGGCCGGACCAAGCAGCCTTGTGACTTCCCACCTGGACACTGGACAGCACTGCATCTGACTCGGTTTTCTGCTTCGGAACAGCGAGGCCTGGACACAGGCACAGCTCAGAAAGTTTCCTGGATGTCACACAGCTGCTCTGCTGCCCAGCTGAGTGCTCTTGGGCCAGCACTTCCCAGAGGACATCCTTAGAACCCAGGTCCTGTTGGACACTCCAAGGGAAAAGGTTCCATGACCAAAGAACGTGGGAACCTGCAGACTCTGATGCCTTCTTGGGGGATTCATAACCACCCATCTGCATATCGAAGTCTCAGAAGAAACCTGCTCACCTTGTTTAACCCAGCCTTCCCCCAACATCCGGAACCCAGACCTCTTCTTCCAAGGCACACCTATGAGCCATGATGTGCTGTCCTAAGCTGTTGTATAGCCCTGACTGGGTCCAAGCAGGATGGATGGCCTCTTCTGGGGACAGAGGCAGACAGGAACTTGCTTGTCATAGACTTCTGGGGTGGGAGGCAGCTGCCCTCCTGGACACGGACTCTGAGACTGGTCTAATGTCATGGGGACGTGTGATGTGAGATTCCAGTCTGTTATTCCTATTTCCCGCCTCCCCCTCCCCACTCCCCCATGCTCCTGGGCCCTCTGCCCTATAATCCTCACCACATCAGACTCCCAGCTTAGCAACTGCCTACCCCACCACCAACCCTGGGAGGACTCCCTGTTATGGTAAGTGAACACAGATACACAGACCACAGAAGCACAGACACACTGAAAGGCAACAGCCACTAGAGTGCCCTGGGATGACAGCAGTAATGATAGGGTGGTGCCCACCTGCCCTTAGCTGATCTGTGCACTGCAGACGACAGATCTGTGACCAGAGGTCAACATTAGCCTCAGCCCTAACATCAACTACCCCCCCATCCAGCCTCAGCAGCACAGTTTCTGTCCCTTCTATTGACATAAGCACCATTTCTGGCTGATGCTCAGTTGAGCAATTTCACTCCTGAAGACCAATTTTTCATCCTCCCTACTTCTTGTTTCTCAGTGTGAAGAGAAGGACACAAGTGAGAGCCTGGTGGCCCACCCAGCTGCCATCCCCAGGCAACTTTCTGGGCTTTGCTCTGCAGGGCCCTGGGTCTTGTGGCTCCCCCAGGGACAGAAGCCCTACTATGGCAGCAGCTTGGCTGTGGAAGTTGTCAACCACTGACAGCTGGTCTCAAGCACATGTTCAGCGGTTTCTCCCACCTTCCTGCCACACTTGGAGGCTACCAACAGGATGAGGACAAAGCAGGCTCTTCATAAAGCCCGTGGAGCTGGGAAATGAAGGCTTCCCTGGCTCTGGGCAAATCCTGCAGGGAGCCACCTCTGCAGGAGGGTGAGGGGTGAGTGACAGTGCAACTGGGCATGGCATAGTGACACAAAGACAGACAGGGATCACACACTGGGCCTGTGGCCCCCCCGCCTGTCTGTGTAGGCCAGAGACGCTTACCTAGGGAGAGTCCGTTGGTGACAGCACAGGAGGAGGTGAGGGTGAGACCCCTGCGGGGACTGCGGGACTCTAGGACACTGTCGTCCAGGAGATGCCTCGCTTTCTCCGATGGGAATGTTGCACTCTTACTCTCAACTACACTCAACTGACACATCATACTGGAAATGGAAAGGAAGAAAGAAGGCAAAGCTCCATATCTACGGAGTAGCAGCACTTAACACCTGCCCCGGGGTCCTGAGCAGACGGCGCGGCTTCAGGAGAAAGGCCTCCACCCAGAGCCATGGCATAGTCCAGGCTCTGCCTCTCTCATGGCATGACCTTGAGCAAGTCACATCCTTCTTCTGAGCCTCAGTTTCTCTATCTGTCAAGTGGGGACTAACAAGACTAGCCCTGCCTATCTCCCATGATGATCACGAGGCTCAGGTGGGCAGACAGTGTGTGTGAGTGATGAGGCTGCACAAACGAGAGGCAATGGGCCATGGCCAGCATGTCTGCTTCCGGAGTGACACACACCTGGGCCAGATCCTTGCTCCAACACTTCCTCACCATTGCAAGGGACTTCATCTTGTTGAATCTCGTTGGACTCATTCTTAAAAGGTGTATAATAATAGCACTTCCCTCAGAGGCCTGCATGGGGACTCAATGAGATAATGCTTGACAGGCATGTGGCAGAGTACCTAGCACAGAGGAGGCACTGAACACTCAGAGAGCAACTCTCTTCTCCAGCCTGTGAGCTCCTCCAGGGCCAGCCTGGGCTGGGCTGAGGCTTGTGCCTTAGTAGTGGAAGGAAGGAAACAAGCAAGGAAGGAAGAAAGGAAGAGAGGGAGGAGGAAATATGGGAAGAAGGAAGGAAGGAAAAGAGGAAGAAAGGAAAAAAGGAAGAAAGGAAGGAGGGAGGGAGGAAAGGAAGGAGGGAGGAAAGGAGGGAGGAAGGAAAGATGGGAGGAGGAAAGATGGGAAGGAGGAGGAAGGTAGGAAGGGAAGGAAGGAGAGAGGGATAGATGGACTCATCTATTCAGGAGCATGTGCCCAACACCTGGGGAAAGGGCCATGGCTGCCCCCAGCCTTGCTGAGGAGCCATGCATGTCCCCTAGCCATGAGCCCCACAGGGCTGGGGAGCCAACAGGTTCACTGCTCTGCAGGCTGACTCCATGAGACACCTGACACTGCCCTGGATGACAGTCAATGGTGTCCACCGGACTCTAGGATTCTCTGTGAGTCACTAACTGATCTTTAGCAAATTTTCTGGAATCCATTGTTGCTTCCCTGATCTTCCCTACATCCTTCCTCCATTAGCTACTGAGCCTGTGACACTGTCACAGTCAGTGGCATGTGGACTATGCTGCTGCAGCCACCCCTCAGCTCTTCTGAGCCCCGGCCAGCCTACGCAGAGCAGGGCAGCCTCTGGAGAGCGCACCAGCCAAGAGGTACCATCAGTAACTCCCAGAACGGGCGGTCGGGGAAGGGACTGACTGGCTGGCAAGTAATTCCCAGCATTCTTTTGCCCACACCCCATGCGTGGCCCAGTCTGAAGCCCTGGGGGAGGGCTTGCTCAGTCACCCACTTGTTGCCCAGGCTGTGGCTTTTCCTGTGTCTGGGGACTGGAGGTGTGGGGAGGCTGCCAGCAACAGATGCATCAGGACAGGTGGGTCTCCGGCTGAACCTTGCAGAACTGGAGCCAGCAGAGGGGCCTGTGAACAGAGCAGAGAGAGCACGATGAGGGGGTTATGGTGGTGGGGGTGGGGGCTGTGAAGGCTGGGTCAAGGTTTGCGGGAAGCCACCTGTCCCGGCTGTCACAGGTGGAGCAGGTTCATACAAGCCCCCCCACCCCCTGTAGCTTCCTGTTCATTAGATACTGACTCCTCCCTCCCAACATAATTAACTCCCAAGGCTGAAAACCAACTGTCAGGACAGCCAGTGTCCTGCTATGCACAGTGCCCTTTGACTGGGTAGCCCCACTGGCTAATACAGAGCCGAAGGAAGAGTGCCATGTGTGGACGTGGGGATCAGCAATCTGGCCCCATTTCCCCAAGGCATGACTTCTATGAGGCCACCCAGCTGGTGAGTGACAAAGTTGAGACTTTAATGTATGTCCTCTGACTCCAAGCCCATGCCCTAACCCCTGAGCCCTTATACAGCCACTTTCTGTTCTCTACCCACTTATTCAGCAAAAAGGGACTCAGCACAGCAGGACAGACAAGGTTCAGACCCCAGGTCTGGGATCTATCTGGGGGACCTTGGACAGGTTACTTAATTTACTCCTCGAGCCTCTCATCTTGAGTTTCCTCATCTGAAAAATGGGAAAGATTCGATTCGCCTTGCAGGTGGTTGGGGGGGGGGTTGGTGAGGTAGCTTACGTAGACTTTCCAGTTAGCACTCATACTTATTTTATTATGGTAACTATTACCATGTCCTTCTCAATCCAGTTACGGGACCAAAAGGAGGTCATCAGAGTTGAGGAGTTGGGAGTCACAAACCCCAATGAGCACAATACGCAGAGGCTGAGGCAGAACCCTTCATGCTGGCCACGTCCTCAGCTATGTTTTGAGGAATGCAGCCCTGACCACTTTTGCACGCTTTAGTTTTTGTGTCTTGGGAAGGGAGGTCTTTGAGGAAGGTGACCCCAGATGCTAGCCTTGTCCTAGCTATCAGGGCCAGACACTGGTGGCGGGGGCCAGGGCTTTCCCAGAGGGGCTTTGCCAGTGTCTGCAGAACACATGAAAAGCAGAGCAAATCAAGGGGCTGCTGCCTGGCCATGCTGGGGAACTTTCCCTGGGATCTGTAAAGCCCGAGGCCCAGCCAGAGACCCATATCTCCACCACAAGATCCTACAGGTACACAAGTGGCATAAGGGTCTCCATGTCCTCCAGCCTGCTTGTGTCATACTTATTTTAACATCCAAAATAGTGGCCCCCATTCTCAGCCTGTAGACTGTGGGCAGTCTACCCTGCTCCTGGCATTTCAGAAGACTCACGAGGCAGATAGCTTACACTGTCTCTGGTTCTGAATTCTGCTGCTGGCTGAGATCTCACTTCTCGCTAGTTGTTTCACCTCCCCTTCTCTCTCCACACCCCACTGGGCACAGCACCTTCTCCTTCGTCTTCCAGGGTCCCACCGCCAATCCCTTTATTAGGCTTTGGCCAGCTTTTTCATTGTTCCCAACAACTGTTCCTGAACATCACCTCTCTCCTTAGCCCCCTGCCCAACCCCTAACTCCCCGCCCTTTCAAACAACACCACTCTCTACTTCAGGGAGAAAACTGGTTGTCAGAGTTGGCCTGTCTCACTCACACTGGCCTTTTTTGTTTTTGTTTTTGGCAGCTTGCCAGTACAGGGATTGAACCCTCAACCTTGGTGTTATCAGCACCATGCTCTAACCAACTGAACCAAGATAGATGTTAAAAGGCAGGTCATAGTCGGGGGGAAAGCATCTGTCACCCATACAACCAAAAGGAGCATTTAGATATAGAGAACTTCAAATATCAGTAAAAAAGAGACAAACCACACAGAGAAAATAGGCAAAGGATATGAAAGGGAAATTCACAAAAGAGAAAATCCGTATGACCAATAACTGTAAGGAAAGATGCTTAACCTCCCTGGTAATAATGGAAATACAAATTAGAGTAAAAATTAGATATCTTTTCACACTAGCAGACTGTAAAAAAAATAATTAGTCTGACAATATCTTGTGTTGGCTAGGATGTGGAGGAATGGGAACTCTAGTGTGGGGTGTGCACGAGTGTAAAATGTTTGGAAAGCAGTTAGCAATGCTGAGTAAAGGGGAAGATGCCATGCCTTTTTGACCCCATAATTCCAACTCTAGGCATCTACTCTAGACAGATGCTCACATATATACACAAGGAGACACATATACAAGGATGCTCAATGCAGCATTGTGTGTAACAGCAAAAAAACAGAAATAACCAACATGCCCTTCAGTATGAAAATAGAAAAGTGAGCTGCAGTTTATTCATTCAACAAATTCTACAAAGCAAAAAAAGGAAGAGAAAGAAAGAAAGAAAGAAGAAACATTGGTCTACACTATGGATAAATCATAAAGACACATGTTAAGTGGAAAGAGCAAGTTGCAAAAGAATGTTTATAGTATCATGCCGTTTATGTCACATTAAAAACCCTCAAAACAATAGTATATATGTTTATGCATAAGTATATATGTAGTAAAACACAAAAACCTGTACAAGAATGACATAAAATGCTGTCAGGACAGCAGATAACTGTAAGGAGAGGAGGGGAAGGAAGCAGGATAGTGGTGAGAGGGACTTTCCATCTGTAATGTTCTATTACTTAAAAAAAAAAAAGAAGCAAACATGGCAAAATGTTAACTGCCGTTAATATGGATGGTGGGTGCAATGGGTACTCTATGTGTTAATGGGTACTCTATGTGTTAACTACTTCATTATTTTAAGTGAGAATATTTTAAAAATAGTGGACACCTACTCTGTGTCAGGTGCTGTGCTGGGGGCTATGCTGGAACCTTCCATTTGCCCCTCTAGATCTGTCCTCCACCCTAGTCCACCTTGTGCCATGGCCCAGGGGACTGTACTGTGGGGACTGGATCAGTGTGTTCCCTGGCCCTCTGGCTCCTTGTTGGGTTAGGTCGATGGGGAGCAGGCTGGGGCACTGATTCCTCTGGCTCTCTTCCTGGGGTGTGTGGGGGTCACTCTTGAGAGGAGACAGTCTCCTCAAGCCCTGTCTGACCCAGGGTTTTGGTAACTGCTGCCTCTCTGCACTCCTGCAGGCCTGGGGGTGGTTACCATGCCCCACTATTTCTAACCCTGGGGTGCTGTGCTGTCCCTTGGGGTTCCCCTGTATGCCACCCACATCTTTGTAAGTAGCCCCGTTCTGAAACTCTTAATCTCTCAATCATCCAATTTGAGCATGCCGTCTGTTTCCTGCCTGGACCTTGTAGTGTCTTCACATTGAACCCATATGACACCCCTATATTATTAGTATTATATACATGAGGTCTGTATTATTAGTCTCAGTTCACAAATAGGATAGCAAAAGCTCAGTGGGGTAGTGTCTTCACATTGAACCCATATGACACCCCTATATTATTAGTATTATATACATGAGGTCTGTATTATTAGTCTCAGTTCACAAATAGGATAGCAAAAGCTCAGTGGGGTAAGCATCAAGGACATTGAACTGGCTGGCAATGGAATCAGGTTCCAGTCTAGGCCTTGTGAATCTATGGAGTGGACATCTGGGACCACCTGCCCAGCACCTTCTCCTCCAACTGATGGAGTTACAGAAGAGTCCAATGCCAGTCCAATGGGGCCTTGCCCCTCCCAACCCCCAGCCCCAGCTGACTGGGTGGACACCTTCCACAGGATTTTTAGATTTGAGCTGAGAAAGCACTCGAGGGCAGTCTCTTTTTGGTGGATGAAAAAGAAAACCTAGACACTATTGAAGGCCATCTTTCCCTGCTTTTGAGAATGAAGCTGGTCTGTGGTGACAGAAAAAGAAAGTGACTCACAGAGTAAGGCCAAAAAAGTGAAGAAAGTCCTGTTTCTGTCGTTTCTGAAGCCCAGTGCCTCCCTGCCCTTCCCTGGCCTGGCTTTTGAGCCCTCCTTGGATTCTGGCTTCCCTTTTGGACGAAGCCAGCCAGAGTCTGTCTCTGTTAATACAACTCAAAGAACCTTAACAAAGAGACCCCACCACACCACACCACCTCTTAGTGCAGCTGCCTGCGCAACTGACCCAGCCTGGTGGTAGGAGAGAGGGAAGGCTGTCTGAGGTCCCAGTATCTGCTTTCAGATGGCATCTCAAGAACAGGTTATGACAGACCAACCCATAATAATGGAGCGAGAGAGGCATGAGCCTAAAGCAAATGTTCTTGGTCTGGACTTCACGAATCCAGAGGAGTTCTGTGGAAGGCCTCTGAAGAGTGTGGTAGAGGACTGAAGCTGTATCTAAGCTTTTCTATGTGTGCCTTTTCCTGGTGAGGGGTTCCATGCTGTCACTGGTTTCTTTGAGGCACTAATTCTAACCCAGGGAATGTAACAGAACCATCTGGAGAGATGCTAAAAACAGTTTCTTGGGCTAATTCCTGGAGATTCTGATTTTATTGGCTGCAGGGGGTCTGGGCATCGTAGTCTGCAAAAGCTTTCCAGGTGACCTTGAAGTGCTCCTCTTGGGAAGAATCTCTGTTCAAAATGCTGGCACAGAAGCAGGCTCTGTCCTGGAGGAAATGTCCCGTGCAGTTGCTTCAGAGAGGCAAAGGGAGAATGAAAACCATCCTGTTTTGTTTTGGTTTTGCACAAACTGCTAGAGAAATGTGTAGAGGGTGGACCTCCCCTTGTTTATCAGCAGCCGTGTGTCAGGGATTACAATCTCCCCGCCTGAGTCACTCTGGCTCCCACCCTTGTTCAGAAAAGTTTTCTGAAGATCAAATTGCATCCTCTCGTGTGGTTTGAAGTAGAATCCAAGACTACCTGGTAGTGCAGTACTAATAACAATGATGCTAATTATGATTCAATGTTACGCACCTGGCACTGTGCTTTATGTATGACTGTGCCAAAATACTTGAGGTGGGAACACTTAGTAAACCCATTTTACAGATAAGAAGGCAGGGCTTATAGATCTACTTCATGCAGAACTTGAACCCAGGTGTGCAGCACTCAACGGTGGTGGGGGGGGAACTCTAGCTGTTCGAAGGTCAGGCACTG